TTAAAGAAACACACATATACAGATAATGTGTGAATAATTATATTTAACAAACCTTGACTTCACAACTATTAAGGACAATCATATTTTCTGTAGATTTTGAAAGGTCCAGTCCATATTATATCTTAATGAAATGTATGCAGTTTATTCTAATTATTCACAATTAAAATTTCTGCTATTTTTTCACCCTTGGCTCTATTTGCTTTCCAGTGTATAACATTTTTTTATATTACCATCTTCAAGAAGCCAGTTCCTCTGGTATCCCTAGAGAAAGTCCTTTGAGAATCTTGAACACAATCCCAAATGTAATTTTTGGGTTGTTGTGATTGACTTAGTGTAATCAGATTCTGAACTACAGGGATTCTGGCCTCATTAGAACAGAAAAATGCGTGCATACACACATTCATATGTGTATATATATATACCTTTCCCTTCTTTCAACTTTGCCTTATTTGAGGAAATAATTAAAGATGTGAAACCATCATTCTTTTTTTTTTGATGTGTCTGTTTTACATTGTTTTACTTGGTTTTATCTTAGTTTTTGTTTTAACCTAGAATGATATTCAGTTACCTACCATTAAAATCTTGATCATTCTGAACCGCAGAAAATATCAACTGGTTTCATTTCTAAGAAAAGAGTAAAAAACATGGAAATAGACTTGAGCATTCTAAATGAATTGATATACCAAGCTTTTTTACATCATTGGTAAGTCCATTCCTTCTAATGTTTTCCTTTTTCTTTTAATTGCATCATTTTTAACATTCATCCTGTAAATAATTGAAAATTTCAAATATGTTAGGTTCTTATCAGTGTTTTGAATCATATAGTTCATATAAGTTGCATCCATATCTTATATAATTCAATTCTCAACACTGTCATCCAATTTTGCTGCCAAAGTTATACAGTTTTATAACTGGATTGCTAATATAATTTCTAATTCCTTTTAAATATTCTATTTCCCAAATAGTAGTTTACAACAAAATTCATGTCTATAAGTAATCTCCTTTTTTAATGGGAAATTTTTCAGTTAATACTCTAAGAGTAGCAAAAGAAAGAACAGGTATAAGATTTATAAAAGTACAGTTTTGAAATATACAGACTTATTATTTGTGGGAAATGCTCTCCCATACTGTCAAATCTGTTGGTATTCTTTCAAAAGTTTGTGAGACATCCTGAAAAAATATGTGCTTATTTTATATATCTCACATTGACAAGGCCAGTTTATAAACAAAAAATTGAGATGTCCATTTGATAACTCAAATCAAGGAATAAATACAAAAAGATTTATTTGGGAAGTAAAGATAATTCTATCCTGGATCAAGAAAGCTAAATAACTTTTCTGATGAAATAAAACCTGTTATTGTCAACATTAGGATTTGACTGAAGATTAATAGATTCCTACCATCTCTCTGTTGTGGCAATCAAAACATTTTAATTAAAACAAGTAAGTAGTGTCAATTATACATAGGCCAAAATAATCACTTCTCATAATTTCTCAGACAACAACCCAATTTAAAGAAAACGTCTTTCAAATTTCTGCCTTCTAAATTGTTATGCCCGCTTTCTAAAATTCTGCTTCCTGTTTTTCAAAATTATATAACATTTCAGAAAAAGCAGGAGGCTCCATGTAGTCCAGATATGCAAGAATCAGTATTCTGTGTCCTCAGTCTCAGAGTGAGACACCGTCTAGAGCTCCTGTCCAATCACAGGGAAAATTGTCCCGAAGCAACAATCCTGGCTACTTGTAATAGGTATCATGCGAAAAGCAGGCTTTTCTTTCATGACTTTCAGAGTTAGCTGTTGCCCCCCAATGCATCCCATGATCTCAGAAGCCACAATTTGGTATTTTTAAATGTCATTACTGTTTGCACCTGAGCCACCTTATTTCATGATAATGGCCAATTTGCTATCTACACTATGGTACCCGTAGATCATTTCTACATATAACTTCAAAATATGTATAACTGACCCCAAAACAAAACAGAACAGATCAGAAGAGAATTTCATTGAATCACAACTTTCCAAAAATATGTAATATACATGCTATTAATTTTAATTCCCATTAGTGCTATCATTTCCTTAGTGCTAGTAAACTTTGTTATTGAGGTAGTTATTTTAGAGACAGACTGAAACTGTGAGAATGAAACACTCCACGATTGGTTTTTTGACATATAATCATATAAAATAACAACCCTGGGAAGAAAATTAGAGATGATCTAGCCCACTTGCTAATTTTATTAATGATGAAACTCAGATTCAAAGAAGCGGTATGAGACTCACATCAGTGACTGTATTCATTTGATTGTACTTTATTTTCCTCTAATAAATTATAAATCCCCTTTTTTTCTCACAATAGATTTTTGTGAAAAGAAGAAATGAATGGCTGGAGGGAATTTTACATTTGTTACTGAGTTTATTCTTTCGGGGCTGACAGACCGCGCTGAACTGAAAGTGACGCTTTTTGTGCTGTTCCTGGGTATCTATGCCATCACCCTGGTGGGGAATCTGGGCATGATCTTCATAATCCGAATCACACCCAAGCTCCACACACCCATGTACTTTTTCCTCAGCTGCCTGTCATTTGTAGATGCCTGCTACTCATCTGCAATCGCACCCAAAATGCTAATCAACCTCCTGGTTGTGAAGGGAACCATTTCTTTCTCTGCTTGCATGGTACAACATTTGTGTTTCGGGGTGTTTGTTACCACAGAAGGCTTCTTGCTGTCGGTGATGGCATATGACCGGCACGTGGCCATTGTGAACCCTCTGCTTTACACGGCAGCCATGTCTAAGAGGAAGTGTGTAGGGCTGGTTGCTGGGTCATGGATATGTGGAACAATTAACTCACTGATACACACAGTAAGCTTAGGCAGACTGTCCTTTTGTAGGCTGAATATTGTCCGCCACTTCTTCTGTGATATTCCCTCACTCCTAAAGCTGTCATGTTCGGATACCTCCGTCAATGAGCTGTTGCTCTTAGTCTTCTCTGGAGTCATTGCCATGGCCACCTTTTTGATTGTGATCATTTCGTATGTGTTCATTGTGCTCGCCATTCTGAGGATCCGCTCCGCAGAAGGGAGACTGAAAGCCTTCTCCACCTGTGCCTCTCACCTGACGGCAGTGACCATATTCTACGGCACCTTAAGTTTTAGTTACATCCAGCCGAGCTCCCAGTATTCTGTAGAACAGGAGAAGGTGGTTGCTGTGTTCTATACGCTAGTGATTCCCATGCTGAACCCGCTGATTTACAGTCTGAGGAACAGAGAGGTGAAGGATGCTGTGAAAAGGGCCATAGAAACAAAACAACTCTCCTGTTAATTCAAGACTTTGCTAATCCTGAACTGTCT